GCCTGGCTTTTGCTTCGGGTTGCATCTGCTCAGCCGTCCTGCGCGAAGAGCACATGTGTTGAGAATTAATTTCGAGTCAAGATGCATGCGGTTGTTAGGGAAATGAAGCAGCTGGATCGATGAGCATGTGAGTCGCCCATTTGTCCGACCGGAGCAGTTACCCATTGGTCATCTGCTACCCGAACCGATTCCCCATGCCTCTACGCAGAAAACCCTTTGTAAATCATGGCCACCGAATGGGATCGAGTCTAGAACCTGAACTAATGCTACCGTATATATTACATCTTTGACAATTGTAAGATCTTGTACTCTTCCTTTAGAGTTGCTCGTCCCTTTTAAAGGTAATCTCGCCTACTTCATTTATTTACATAACCCATCTCACAGAGTGCGCACATCCCAGGATTTTCTTTATTCGTTTCGTTGCCTTTCTCCAATCACACACAAAGTCTCCGAATGTGAGCATGCGCTTAGCTTACAGCTGAAAATTTTTGTCTACATAATAAGTGTCGTTATATGGTGGAGTGCTGGTTGAACAAATTCCTTCTAGAATTCTGTGTTGATTGTGTTAGAGCCTTTTCTGATCTTCGTCACAAGCAGTTACCAGCCTTTGTGGATTGAAGGAAAGTTTTCTCAGGCAATTCTAGTGCCAACTCCGACCAAGAGGCATTCAGAGACTATTCATGTGGTACCTGACTGCAGTTGCACCTCTCATCAAGCAAGCATATCTCAGCTTTCTACCGAGTGAAATAAAAGCCACCCCAATAAAGAGATTTTTATCAGCAAGGCACATGTTTGATCATTCTATCATGATAAGAAATGGATTTTTTCAAATTTTTAGCTCGAAGTTGTCTCTAAGTAAAAATTAAGCTTTAGAATATTTATTATTTTCTGCTTTTCTAGAGCGATGAACTAAGGTTCCTTCTACAGGTTTGTCATGCTATAGACTTTGTAAGTCCTATAGTTGCCGAAAATTATTGGGAATGATTAGAAAGCTGTGGCAGAAAGAAACAAGAAAACCAGTGGCGCGTGTGGCGCAGTGCTCGGAGGCGCCCTTCGATACACACATGGGATCGATCCCCGTGCCTTAGGCTCACCAAGCCTTCCATCCCTCCAGGGTCTGAAAATTGGTACCACTTTATTCTTTTTTATTTATTAGAAAGCTGCCATCGCCCCTCATGCAGTTCATCGCATACAAAGTATAATTTTTACTAAGAATTTTTCGTTATAGCATGTCATGGTTATGTTATGGAGTGGACGTGTCTAGAAAATAATCAGATGCTTTCAAAATAAGCTGTGAAAAATTTCTTCAAATGGCGAAGCATGTGGATAGTGAACTATAATAAAATTTAACAAATAGTAGCATGAATACCACTAAATGGAAAGAGAAAAGCTTTTTCTTTATTGTTGTGTTACTCTCAAACTCACGATTCCTCTATCTATCGAAAATTTGTCATATGTTTTTGTTCAAATCGCGGACGAGTTTCACTGTCTTTGAAGCATCCGCAAAATCAGCGGTGGTTCCTTAGGAAAAATGAAACACTTTTATTCTAGTGCTGTAATTTTGAGCCCTCCTATTGCTTGGTTTTTGGTCTTTATATTTTAAGCTTACATAATGAAAATAAACAGGGCGGATAGCACAGTGTTGGTGATGTCTGTCATCACATACCGGAGATGTCGTGGACAGTGGATGCGAGGAAACGAATTGAATGTTAGAAGTGCTGGGATCCGCAGAGTAGATGTGAAGACGGACCAAATGAAATGAAAATAAAAAAAATAAAAAAATCAGATTCTGATGACTTCAAGTAAGTTTGGCTGTGCAATCAACTACGTGACATATTTTGGTGAATTTTGTAAGTAATTCTGCATCTCCATCTTCTTCTTACGAAAACAAACCGCTTGTCGTCTTCTACCACTATACGTGGTCAGCTGCGGATTGCTATGACCTCAGTCAATATTTTTCAGCGCTCATTTCAATTTTATATTGTTTTCTGAAAGACTTTCTTTTGTGCTCTTTACCAAAGTCACTGAGTTAAATTCTGTGCTGTATATCTGTTAAAATCAAGAAACCGTAACGTCAAGGAACGAAGTCAAATTTCATTCGGCCTAAATCAGAACTATGGAGTAATGCAATGAAAGTGTTCCATTAAGGTGTATTGCTAGGTGTTGCAACAATCTTCTTGATCGACTAGACCAGTCACTGTCAGCAATATTCGTTTCTGTCTTCATCTCAAATCAACAAGACCATTATTCGTTCAAGTTTAGCCTAGTTTATCATTAAATGAAGAAATTCTGGTCTATTGGTTTGAGATCTTTTGAAAATTTTGTTTTTTTTAAACCTTGGAAAGTGATTTTAGAAATTCAAGCCAAAGTTGTCAATCCAATAAAATGAAAGTTTGGTCTTAGAGGCGTTTTGCGAATGGAAAAAATCCGTTTGAATAAACTAATACTCGCGGTGTTTTCGTGGTGTCGGCTGTGTTTTATCTTCAACAATCGTGGTACTCAACTTTCCATATTGAGAGGCAAAAAGGTCGAGAATTCGGAGTTAGTCTCATCTTATGCTAGATTGAAATCCGACATCCCTCTTAATCTACGCGTCCTCTGAATCTTTTCTTTTAAGATCAGAAGTTTTTTATGCTGGATTTCAATAGAATTCCTCTTGTAGTTCAATCGAAGCTTACGGGATCACTGCTCATTTCGATCGGAAAAGACGAAATTCTTAACAGCATGAGGGCTGTTTATATTTCACCTAGTTGTAAAGATATCATAAAATGTTCCAGTTTTACTTCGAAATCTAGGGATTACTTCATCAGAATTAAGAATGTCCCATTGAGAAGTGATGCTTCGTAGTTTTGCAACCTTGTGGGATCAGTTCACCTCGGTGTTTTTCTAGATGTCAAGTAAGATATGCAAATTACTCTCCCTTAGTAACACCGCTTGAGCTGAGAACGCGTTTGAAATTTTCTTCCGGAAGCCCACATAATAGTGAAGTAACCTGTGCTACGAGAGGTTTTAGTCAGAACGAACCCATGGCTACATGGTCTTCACGTCTTGTAGAAATAAGACTCCTTATAACTCGTATGAAGTGCTGAGTTATTTGCAAAACTCCGGACCACAGGTGCATGCAGTGGGGAACGAACACGCGCTGTTGTCCTTACCGGGGAGCAGCGCACTTCACCACTACACCAGACCCGGATGGGACCCAGTTTATGATGGTTTTTGGAATTCACTTGTTAAATTACGTGACTTTTTCTTCTCCTACAAGAAGGACAAATCTTGCGCGAGCGAGGCTATGGCCCCATCTCAAACTTTAGAACTACAGCAATATCGATTTAGACAAAATCCTCAATTTAGCGTGATTATTCTATTTCATGGCTGTACTCTTCGCTGTTGGAACCTTAAATCGACCATCGAGAATAGGGAGTATCGGAGTCGCTGGGAATGATTTTAGTCACCATGAAAAACGCAAATACCAACCCTCAGTGTTCGTTACATTTGAGTCTGTGAGTCTCAATCTAAAGTAGCTCAGGAGTTCATTTGAGGACAACCTAGATGTAGATAGAAGTTGCTGATGGTAGTCTTTGAAAAAGGCTAATCGGGTGTCGGGCTGCAAATTAAACCCGGAGGATTCATCCACTCTCCAGGGTCTCCTGAGCTAAGAACAAGTCCAGAGATTCCATCAGGAAGCCCAGCTAAGGGTAAACCGATACCTGTATCAACCACTGTCCTGGTATCAAACTCGTCGCATAGTGTCCAGTCTCCCTCTGATTCGCAAGGGCCTCGACTGGTTGTGGTGGTGGCGACCTGGAGTAGACTTTGGCCAGGCTGACTTCGAGATTCCAGAGAACCACAATAACTAAACCAGCAAAACTCCGAAAAATGGAGAATATGTTGACGCTCGCACAACTAGTGAGGACGGGTCGTCCAACTATTCAAGTAAGTATTTGTGAATTAAGACTACTTTCAAAATCTGAATAACAATTCTTTTGCCACTATTCCTGGTGTGCAAAAGCCGATGAATCGGGCTTTGGACGTTTGTAAGTTTTATTAAGGCGTACTACCACATTCATTCGAGTCCCAGTTGTAGACGCACGGAGAACGTTAAGATGGAGTTGTCTTGTGAAAAGACTAAAATGAGCCCTTCATCAGCCCACAATCGATCGGAAAGTTTTATTTGTAGTATTCGAGGTATTCCGAGATTCACTCTTATAGTTGATGAAATTTCATTACTTTGAATCTGAAATCTTCTGTGATACTGTTTTAGCTTATTTATTTTCTATACTCTGTCATGAGAGCAGTATGTCGTTACGTGTCAGAAAATGAAATTTGAAGACCTAGAGGATGAAAAGGCCTAAAAATAAGCGAGTTACCACTGAGCCGATTCATTTGTGTGCACCTATTCGTCTACCCTTGTAGGGTTCGGGCAGATACTGTTCCTGACGTAATTACCCAAATAGATCCAATCCTTTGGTTGTGTCTTTGTAAGCAATTTTTATTACCTTCTCTTAAAACTCTAATTTCTGATAAGTTTCTTGTTCTACCCTATTATCGCTGAAGGTTGAGCTTTCTTGTACGTGATCGCTTTCACAGTTTAAATTTGTTTTCCGCTGGAAATAAACATTGTCGTGAGACGAAAATTTTGCTCCCAATTTTTTCCAAGATCTCAATCAATATTTTTGAGTTTTCGCCTATTTATATCTGAACATTCTATCATTCCCTCAGAACAAGCAGAAGACGTTGCCTCCTTTGCTTAACTGTGGCGTGTTTTCGCTGTCTTTCGAAAAATATTTCCACCATTGATTTTTGACTAGATTTTTCAGGCGTTTTTGTCTCTGACGATGTGGAAGTAGACATCTGGGTTTTGGTCCGAGCTTGTTTGCTCGTGCTTAAAGAGAGCTGCCAATTTGCCTCTTTCATCGCTTCATTCGCATCAAACAAATGTGAGCTTCGCTTTCGCTCGGTGTCTCTTCTTTCCATCTGCAGTAATTCGCTTATGTTGGCAGATGTCCGAACGTTTGTCTCTTTCAACCCGTTCACCAGAGGACGAACTCATCTTCGAAAAATCTGTGAGAATTAAGCAGTGGGTGAAGAAGCGTATGAAGGAGGCAAGTGTTTTTGTATTCTTTTGTGGCAGTGTTTGATGTTATTTCCAAATGCTCGCCACATGAACCACACTAAAAGGTTTAAGCTTTTTCTTTTTAAACTACTTTTTCTTTACGTTTTCTCCACCCTACCTTGTTTCTTCAATTCCCTCTCTTGGTATGCTGCTGTTGCTATGGATTATGGGTACCTGTGGACTACAAGCAGCAAAATTTTTGTGTTACTACGAAATCATCTGCGAAATTAAAGCTGAAAGCTCTTTTTTTCTTAAATTCACCTTTTTCAGCTTTGCCTGTAAGCAAGTTGGTCAACCAGTATTATTTGTCGTATCGCACATTTATCTTTCCAAAGTTTTGTTTTTACTGTATTTATTGTCAAAGACACATAGATGAGATTTTTTGAAGCGCTCAGGCTGGTTCGAATCAGTAAAGGGTGGTTTTAATCGGTGCAATATTTCTTGTTCTCCACTCGTTATTTGGAAATGAGAAGTTGTAAGCGAAAAACTGGGCTTTGAAGTGGCGCTTGTTAGCGCGTTTCACTCGCTTCTCGATTGTTCGCCAAGCATCTTCATAGTACGGATATGGTAAGGAGTTCAGCAACAGCACCGCATGTAATTCGTCGTTGCTCAGCGTGATCTTTCGCATTTTGCCAGTCGATGCAGACCATGCTATCAGCCTGGGCCGCGACCGATTATCCGTCATTTGCATCGGACGGTAGGTTGGTAGGTTGACGGTTTTCCGACGCTTGTTCGTCACTCCATTCTGCACTCGTCATTTCGCCTCCACTCTCCTTTTTCATCGATTTAGTCTTGCAAATGGAAATTAGAATTCTCGACGAATCTACTCCACTTTTATCTGCTAGAATTTCAAGCCTTTTTTCAATTTAAAGCTACAACTTATTCCATTGATTCACTGAATTCACTTACATGGGATATAATTGCGAAAAAATTTCTTATTGTCTTCAAAACTAAAGAAAACTAAAAAAACAATAAAAATACTATTCGTACAACAGTAAGTTTGGTCCAAATAACCTTGGATCTGTGTATCTTTCTAGCTGTACATTACCTAACCATTCCATTAGGAGACGAGTAGCACAGTGCCGATCATCACGAGCACGGTGCTTTTTCGTCACCGTTACGGGTTCACCAAACCTTTCACCTCTCCAGAGTCGGAAAATTAGTGCTGGTCTTGTCTTGGAAAAGTGCTCTCTGTGCTATCCAAATGGGAACACTCTAGCCAGGCTACCACAGGACTCCAAGGAGAATCAACTCGACCAGCATTCAACGACATTCACGGTTAAAGAAGCGTCCTCAAGCAGCAGCCAACGGTACACGTAAAGTTGGAAGACCCTCGTGGATGATGGATGTAGAGAAACGAATCGAATGCAATAAGTGCTGAGATCCAGGAATTAGTTGCGAAAGACGGGTCACATAAAAAAGGTTTTTCCATTAGGCGTGGACCCCTTGAATCTATATATTCCTGTGCTTTGAAGTGACGGCCCTTTCCGATAGGCGGAGCATTTCTGCTGCTGTTTTTGCTGCCCAAGGAGAGAGCAGTATTTTACAGTGTTGAGTACTCTATTTCGTAATAGCGAAGAATGCACAACGGCGTCCGTATCTGGCTAAACATATGACCGCTCTAGGTATGGAAACAGCACGACGATATCTTAATCCACAGCCGTCTGTATTACATAATAACTTGCAAAAATCATAATTGTTCATAATTTCCAGTGAGCACTTATGTACGTTTTCCTTGAAGGGTTTTGGAAAGCATTAGATAGAAGCTGGAGTGTCAGCACCCGTTGTTTGATTGTGCTAATACCACCATTTATGACATCAACTCAATTTGAAAAAGACAATAGGCAACTTAACTTGTGCTAGCCAATGTTAACGTAACGACCATTTTACTCCATTGTTCACACCCGTCTTTTGAAAGTCGTTTATGTCAAGCTTAACTTGTGTATTCAAGTGAAGCAGCGAACCGCTATTTGCACGACGTGCAGGTCACTAACTCACGATTTTTCTTGTTGATCTTCTCTTTACGAAGGTTCCAAGCGAAAGTTATGGTTCTCATGCAGGTCTACCACGTGCTAAGTACCGAATGGTTTTTTTTTTTGGTACTTGCTGAATATATTCAACAGTCGACATGGGAAGAATTGATAGGGGCGCAGTACCACCTTTATCATATTTAGCCCTCAATCACCACTAACGTCTGCATTTGTTATTATCTCGCGGCAATGCTTCCCAACGGGCTTCGCTCGCCCGTAGTACATATAGAGCATCGTATTTTTGCAATAGAGCAACAGAGCATATTGCATTTGCCTTTGCAGTTTTTGATAAAAGCATGCCCATGCGTGACTCAGTGAGTTCTGCCTTAAGAGAGATAATTGAAACATGGCCTTTCCTTAAGTGAACACGATGCTTATTTGTTGGAGTGATATCGAAACTCACACAAACTTCCAAATTACTTGGTGGGAGAATGCATTTTTTCCAAGAATAAAGGTTCGGTTCCTGTGTACTAAGCACACTTACACACATCATTGTAGTCTGGTATAGACTGGAGCTTATCCAGTAAATCAATCTATGTCTGCTTCTGGTTAGGTAGCTTTTATTTAGCGGTTATCCCTCCTATCTGCCACCGAGGATGCGTCGCCAGGTGCCTCAATCTTCGAGATCCGTCACATATGGAGCATGTCAGCATTTAAATAAACGCCCTTTATCCTTTGTTTGAACATCATTTGTCTGACATTATTTTTGCTTAACCCGCTTGTTTTTTTAGAAAAACGTCATGATCTTTATTCGAGTTTTTAAAGTAATCTATTTCTACCATTATATTTACACAAGGTGACCATGTTCTACATAATGTGCTTCTAGTAGCAGACCTTCCAATTCTTTCTCTCGCAGTAGTCGTCCATTGTGATGGTCGACTTAGTTTCACTTACGCTAACAAGAAAGACCATAGAAGAAAATATGAGCTTGGGAAATGGGCGATTCGTCGGCAATAAAACATTGCATCGTCTTGTTTGTCTTCTTTTCTTAGATCTACTCTTCTTCTCATAATGAGCTACTGGAGTTGTTGTCTCCTCGCTACCTGTTTTGAGGAGAAAACTAATGGGCAAACCATGATTTCATCTCAAATGCTTTTTGATCAGCAACAAAAGCCGTGGGATTATTGGAGGAGCTTAACCATTCTATTCAGTCAGATTTGAATCTATAAGCAATGTTGAAGTCCTGTTTTCGGTGATACGACAGTGAAAAAATCAAAGATCCGGGCACAGACTCTGATTTTGATAGTAGATCGGTAGAGCTTCTTGCTAAACTCTGCAAGCACAGTGTTGTTTCACCGATCCTTCTACAGACGGTGAGAAAAGGCAGCGGGAAAGAAAGACAGAATGAGAAGATGAAAGGTAATGGAAGGTTCTACCACTAACCATAGATCTGTTCCTATTAATGGCATAGTCTTTTGCATAATGCGGTCCGTGTAGTTGGTGATCAAGAGCTTAAAATTGATAAGCCTAAAATTCTTTTGATCTAGTTCACCAAAAGTCGTTTCGTTAACTGTTGTTTTTGAGAGGACTTTGCAGCACTTGTCCAATTAGTCCTTTGTAATTTGTTGTATTTCTGTTAGGGAGAAGCAACTTTGTACACAGCGAGGATGGTGTTTTTGTTTTGTCATATTTGAACTGAAATCTGTTGCTTCTGTGGAAACTCACAACTTATTCTTTTTTCCGTATAAGGCTGATAGAGCGATAACGCAGTGCAGAAGTATCATTGTTATGCATACGGTCCTTGGTTCGATCCGGGCCCCACGGCGATACCCATAACACCAATTACTAGGAGACAGATTAACGCCGAACTTATCGTCTTTTTTCTCTTTTATAGGTTCGATATCACAACCATTGTAAGATTTTCATCAATTAATTAGCAGGAAATTCACTTTTATCACCTTTCGTCTTGTTGATTGTCGAGTGACTCAAGCGGGCGCTAGTAAGTCTTCTATTTGTCCTTATTGGGTGCAAGAGTAGCCCAGTGGATTATGCCGGCTCTAGGGGCTAGTCGAGCTCATATCTTTCTTTTAAGGTTTTCGTGAAGAACTCCGATCGGATCGGTGGCCTTCCAGCAGTACTTTTGTCATCCCTAGCCATCTATTCACTAATGGTTCTTGTTTATCGGTTGTCAATCATACGCATTATGTGTCCGGCCCACCTTATTATTGATAATTTGCCATATATATAGAATGGCATCTTTGATTTTTGATCGTAGACGTAGGTTGGAGCTTTGGCTTCCTTCCACATTTTCGTGACACAACATGTTCCTAGCATCGTCTTTTGACTGCGCTTTCTATAACGCTGTGTGATATTTCATTCTGTTTATGTAGCGATTAGGTTTTCGACGTATACGGTAAAGTACGACGAATCATGGATCTTAAAAGGTGGGCACAGAGTTGCGTGTTCTTTATTTTCCTCACTACATCTTCGACGCTCTTAAAGGGTTCATAAGCCGTTCGCTTCCTTTGGGTCTAAGTCGTTTATGACGTTCATTTCTCGACCTAGATAGACATAACTGGAGCATTCGGAGAAATTCGTTCCGTTGAGCGTGAATGGGGCATACGATCCGTTCCTCGTGAACATCGTTTTTCTGAGATTTAGTCGAAGACCATTCTTCCCACAAACGTTATCAAAGTCCGCAAGCATTCGATCCGCTTGGCTAATACTTGATGCTACAAGAATGATGTCATTAGCAAAGCGAAAATTGCGTAATTGTCTGCCATCGACTTTCATCCCCATGTTGTCCCATTCCAGTGCTCGTACGACGTTCTCGGTAAATAATTTTAGAGAAATGGAATTGTCCGATTGAGATTGTAAGTTGTTCGAATGAATCGATGTTCGTGGACAATGTTGACTCGTGCTGATCGTGTTGACGAGAACGCCGACGCAGCCGACTCCTTTGCTGCCGCATGTTCCGAGGAACAGTTCTTCTCCGGTGTCATAGACTGCGTTGAATGGGTGACGTCGTCTCGTCTTTGCCAGGCCGATGACGTCGTACCTTATCCTCCTTGCTTGCATAAGCAAGCCTTCTATCGAGCACTAGGATGCAAGTGTACGTGCATTGTAGGTAGGGATCGTTACCTCAGTTCTTCGTGATCTAGGCAGCTTCCATTGGCCCTCTGACATTTTAGCAACCTCTCCGTACTCGTCTACCCAACGCTACGAAATTAGAGGCTCTTTCGGGATCAGGGGAACTGAGGCCCGTTTGTTCCACTGTTTTTAGCTTTTTGATGCCCAGGTATAGCTTGCTGGGCTCTGAACGTAGGGGCTGGGTATACTCATGGGTACCTTGCCAGGATCTGCCAGAGTGGACACGGAGCTTATTTGTTGGAGGCGACTCCTAACCACCTCCCATCTACTTCCCTGTTACTTGATTGCAGACTTTTAGCCAAATTGAGTCGTAGAACACAATCCGCATAAGCGAGAACGCACCTACACACGCATGCATGAATACGCCTAGCAAATACAGAAAGTATGTGCCAAATAGCGCAGCAGAAGCAGGGAGTCCATCCCTTGGATCCAGCTGCGTCTCAAGGAAGCAAAGGTCGCTTTTGGTCTGCGATTCACCCCTTATCCGCCACTTGGGGACGTGCCAAGTAGCCTTGCGACAAACTGGGATGAGGTCCTTGTATGAGGACGTGGCGAGAAACTCAGAAAAAGGTAAAATGTTAGACAAAAAAGTGGGTAAAATAGTCATGATAGGTAGAATAGGTGAAAATAGGTAAATTAATGTGATATAACATATAACGGTCAAAAGGTCCCGCAGTCGGTGCATGCATATTGCCGGAAAACCAATCTCACTAAGCTTTGTGACGGAGTGCTTCAGATGTTGGAAAAATAACGGCGAAGAATGGAAGACCGTTAGTCAGACTACTGTATGTATTTTTATTTCCAGCAGTATTGTAGAAAAATCAATGTGATCACAAGTGGTTGTTGAAGATTGTAGGTCTGAACCACAATAGTGGAACGACTAATGGAAAAGAAAATAAAAAAGATAAGTTATGTATAGTGGTGAGTAAAAGAGAAGATGCTCCGCCAGTATTTCGTGGATGCGTTGTGTTATTCCTGAAATCTCTGATACCTTATTGATTTTTTGATTAGATAGCTTACGACCATCTACCGTGCCATCTACCTGATGGCTAATCCAGCGAAACTGTAGTAACTCATTTGCATCATATCTTTTTACTAGTTGATTTGTTGTTTTTTTGTTGAAATCTGTGGTTCTGAGATGCCTCCAGCATAGAATTCTTTTAGTAGTCTTCATAGACAATTATTATCCGATTAAGTTCGAAGGTGCAGGATTGCCTTCTATAGCTTCACGTACACCTCCTAACGGTTTACCGCCTCATCGTGGCTGGGAGGTGCTCATGGGTGTTGGGCTTCGATGTACAGCGGAGGGATTCATCCACCTGGCAGGGCCTCCCAAGATGAGGAGTCCGACGTTTCTGTCCGGAAACCCAGCTAAGAGTAAACCAATACGAGGATTCACCACCATCCTGGTAACAAAGTCGCATGGTGACAAATCTCCCTCTGATTCACAAGGGCTGCGACTGCCTGTGGTGACGACGACCTCAGGCAGGGTTGACCTCCGGATTCCAGTGAACAACAATGGCTTAATCAGCAAATCTAAAAAATGGAGATCATGCTGGAGCCCGCACAACCAGTAAGGACGAGCCGTTCAAGGATCAAGTACATAAGTAAGCTTCACATACAAGAATGTGGGTGCTCTTTGATGCTTATAAGTTCCATATAGTTCAAAATTAAGCGTTTTTAAGCTGTCCTAAAAAATTGGCTTCTACCCATAAGGTGCTATGATACTACTACTTTGCTGTTGTTCTTATCGAAGTCGATTGGATATATCGAACAATTATTTTATGAGAATTCATTGATCTCGTCCACAAGGTGGGGACTCGTTCAACGAAATTAGCTTCAATTTTTGAAAAATTTATACTTTTGAAGTTGGCTAGAATTTTATATTTTCCATACACCAAATTCGTCTGCTTGAATGATTTGATAGTTGGTGATTCGTTTTCCAAGGTTATGAGCGACCAATAGAAGTCTCCATAAAAGATTGTATAACCAGTCAAAAATTAATTAGTCATGCACCTACTCCAATGGCTTTCCATAATTATTCTACTCTGACTCGTATACGCATGTTACAGAAGTTGCACCTGATGTTATATACTTACTTGATACTTGAACCGTCCGTCCTCACTGGTTGTGCGGATCCCAGCATAATCACTATTTTTCGGAGGTTTGCTGGTTAAGCCATTGTGGTTCCCTGGAGCGACGAGGTCAACCTGGCCAAAGTCTGGCTCAGGTCGTCACCACAACAAGCAGTAACCTCCTTCTTGGATCAGATGGATATTTGTCACCATGGGACCTTGATCCTAGGACGGTGGTGGTTCCTGGTAGCGGTTCACTCTTAGCTAGGTTTCTTGTTGTAAACGCCGGATTTCTTTTCAGCTTTGGAGACCCAGCCGGGAGGTGGAATCCCCCCGCTGTACAACGTAGTCCGACATCCAGGAACACCTCCCAGCCACAATGAGGCGGTGAACCATTGAGAGGATGTTGTACATATATATACATATATATAAGTCTTAAATTTTAAATGTAAAGTGCTTCACAAATTTCCGATTCCTCGTGGAATTGTGTTTTTAGGGAAAGGAGTTTTTGATGTAGGTTTGTTGACATTCGTCGATCTGGCCTCTGCTAAATATGCATTGCGTTAGAATCCCCTGGAGACTAGCGGAATCGCTCTTGCATTCTTCCAAGCCGCCTTCTTCCCTCCTATTCCATGCTTCTGCCGCTCGTTCTTGCTGATTGTTTTTCCAAATGTTATACTTCAACAAATCTTGTAACTTAAGAATGTGGCGTTTTCTTGTTCAGCAATCTAAGAGTGAACCGCTACCAGGATCCACCACCGTCCTAGGATCAAGGTCCCATGGTGACAAATATCGATCTGATCCAAGAAGGAGGTTACTGCTTGTTGTGGTGACGACCTGAGCCAGACGAGGTTTTTAAACAGCATACATTTACTTCCATATAAAAACACAACACAATACAACGCTAGCTGACGTTTCGGCAGTATCGCCTTCTTCAGAGCCTGGAAGGGTATACTGACATACAATCTACTAGGCCAAACGCTTCAATAACACTTACGAAAAGACGAAGAACTTTTTGGTAGTTACATGATCAACAGCTTCTCGAAAAACTCACCGTTTTTTCGTGACTTCCAATGAGGAAGTTTAGAACAGCTGATTATAGTCGCATGTGGTTGACGATTGCACCATCCCACATCAAAAATCGATGCGAACATACGGGATCAGGTCGCGTATGACCTCCGGGCATTCGTCCCTGGTATTCATTGTAGGGTTTTTGGCATTTATGTAACTAACTGTAACTTGTTACTTAATACGATTTACCCGTTTACAGTATCCAATGGAAAGAATGCCAAAAAAATTGGTGATTTCCCTGTCACATCGTTCTATTCTGTATTCTTCATCAACTTGCCTTTGAATAAACAGAATTTCAGGAAAGGACTCCGATAGGCTATTTTAACTTGAAACTTTATTCGATAATCGTTTGATTTTTGGACAATCGTTTGCATTTTGCTTCTTCCCATGATCATCTGTGCTTCCGTGCTTCCACATGATCGAATTGTATTCAGACTTCCTCAATATCAACGATCGCCGATTTAAAACTGTTCACTGAATTGGTGTGCTTCTACCAAACATTCACCGTTGTAGTATTTAAATGAGCTGTTGTGTGATCATATAGCAGAATTCCAATTGAGTCGTATAGCGATATGCTTTGGAAAAGCGAAAATTTATAACATTTAAACATACATGCATACATACAGTGATGTGGGATTGCTTGAACTATTTATTGCTTCCCGCCTTACGGTTCGTCTTGACTTTTCAATCTGGGTTTCATTGAAGATCGATGGGCCTGCCGCCCTGACTGGCGCATTTTTTCTTCTTTGTCTTCAGAGCAGCCAGGTGGGAAGAGGCCCGATGGCTCGCGCGGACCAGCCGTCACTCTGCCACCAGACATTGCACAACTTTCCGTCATTACAGTATAGTTTTAGACATTTAAAATCCTCTGAGTATGGGTTCGCGGTCTCTTCCATCTGCTTTATAAAAGTTCTTAGTGCTTTTTCAAAAAAGTTTTCTTGTTTACACACAGTTACACTGGGAACTGCATTAGTTTTGGTCATAATAATATTTAATAATAACAGTAGTTATCATAGCAACAGTAATAATGGCATGATAATAACTTATTTGACGCTTGATACATGAACGAACGGCCTGTCCTCACTGCTTGTGCGGGCCTCAGCATAATCTCCATTTTTCAGAGATTTGCTGGTTAAGCCATTGTGGTTTCTTGGAATTCAGAGGTCAGCCTGCCCAAGTCTGCTTCAGGTCTTCACCACCACACCCAGTCGCACCCTTTATGAGAGAGATTTGCCACCATGCGACTAGTTTGACACCAGCACGGTGGTGGATATTGACGTTGGTTTACTCTTAGCTGGGCTTCTTGATAGAAATGGTGGAATCCTTCTCAGCTTGGGTGACCCTACCAGCGGACGAATCACCCCGCTGTACATCTCAGCCCGACACCCAGGAGCACCTCCCAGCCACGATGAGGCGGTAAGCCGTTGGAATGGTAAAAAACCGCTGGTTGGACATGATAATAACGGCGGTAATAATATCGGAGATGAAGTGTGATCCGGTTGCAGACAGTCCAGTGCATCGTATGTAGCTGGTGCTTTCTCCAGAAGCGTTGACATCTTTTGTAAATCTCAATTATTTATAAGCTGCGAAGCAGTAATTTCTCTCTTTCGTCTAAAAATGGATTGACTTTACGAGAGACTTCAACAGTATCTTGCTTTCACATTATCTCCTAAGTATTTACACTTGCACTTTTTGTCTTCTTTTAGAAGAATGTAGACAAAAGAAAGAACCTTGTTTCATTTTTATTTACTGCCTACTGTCTTTTTACGCTAGGAGGTTAAGTGAAATACAGCCACAACGATGCGAAGATATTTGCAAAACTTGGACCTCAGCTGGTCTTCGAAACCGCGATTACTCTTTTCGGTGCTGACGTGTTATTCACTGCACCACTGAGCTTGCGTTTCTCTCAGCGAGTTTTCTACCTAGCAGCGCTATCAGCAATCACCTCCTATCAACGAACAATAGTAATCTAGGGAGCACAAATTGAACCCAATTAAACTGGACCTTCAGTCGAAATCATACTGTTCTTTCTTATTTACTGGCTATTATTTTTTAAAAGCAAATTAAAGTAGTTCTTAATAAATCTAGCAAAAAAATATAAAATGTGAAAGTACGACAATTAAATAACATAGCTAAGGGACAGGTGAAACAAAGGACTTGCATGGTGTTGTGGTGAACGTATCATCTCCAGAAAAGGTAATAGCGGGTTCGCTCCTCACCGCGGACACCTGCGGTCTGGTGTTTTGCAAATATCTCAGCACCATTACTGTTGTATGAAAACGTACTTACTAGAACAAAACTTAATTGTTCAGGTAATTTTCAAACACGTTTATTTAAATAATGGGCACTAAATGAAAGTAGATATTATGATTTCGATTTCAGCTCTAAATTAACAGGGTTTAATGCCGATTTGTGCTCCTTAGATCACTCCCGTTGACGAGTGATTGCTGATGGCATCCTTAGAGTAGAAAACTGGTTGAGAGAAGGGCAGAGGCTTCGTATGGGACAGCACATTAGCTTCCCTAAAGGGTAATTGCGAGTTCGAAGCTGGCTTGGGGTTCCGAGTTTTGCTCATATCTCAAAATATAGGATACTCATTCACCATAATGTCATCGTTGCGAAGTCCTGTGAATAAGTACAGAAACAGCACCAAGAGCTCGTTTAGCATATCTATTCTCTTGGAGGTTGAGCGGTAGCGTTCCGTATGAGGGCAAGACGACGTAGTAGTTTTGCATTTCCGATGTCTTTCGTGGTCTCGGAAACGTCTCCATAGAACTGGTCAGGTTCGACTGCTCACTTCTTCATTGACATGTTGAAAGCTAACCAATCGTGTTTTCAAACTGAAATCTGAGATAGCGGTGTTAGAGCATTCGTTTGTCCTCACCACCAGTCTCCACCTCTTCTGGATGGGCGGAAGCTTGATGGTTTCCCGACATCGATTCTCCCACCGCAAAAGCTAATCCTGCCATTAATTAACCGACCACTTCAGAACGATGTAACCAGCCAACTTTTTGGAAGATATACAATTGCATATATACAATTTTATTACTAGTTAGTTCATGGTGTTATCATCACATATTATTATATTATGTTACGTGTTTCGAACATTTTTTATTGCTCTATCACAAATTTTACAAATTATATTAACACATGTGCGCTCACATGCGTTGCTATCAATGCAGACCGTGCGTCAATAAAGGCTGCCTTGAATTGAAAGCGAAATTACTTCAACTCGTATTAGGATTATTAGGAGCCACTAGAATTACCATGCCTTTCCCAAGAACATGCAACTTTTGTTGTTTTACCGCGATGTATTTCACATTTTACAGTGTGTTCCTTCACATTTTTTTAAATCCCGGACCCTTTTTCAAGCGCAGAGGCAACTGTACAAAGGCGATTTTGTCCACCAGCTCGCCATAGTGTTCCTCATTGTAACACCTGTGCTTGCGACCGCCGCACCTTTGTTGGATATTCCGAAATTATAACTTCCCCTTCTTTTATATGCGCTTCGTGTTTCTAACTCCTTAACTTCTTTAGTGATTGGGAAATTAACAGTGGTTTTCGGAAATCCGGAAAATGAATTAAGACGTTTCATAGGAGTAGAAACAGAAATTGCTGCTGGCTTTCAGGAGATTCTTTCCGTACTCTTCTTCCCTTTTATCAGGCGAGGCTTCTCTTTGTTGGAATTCGCATATGAATGTGTTACTAGCAGTTTTGCTTTTTGCTACTACCATATTTGGTTGTGCGTTCACATGTGATGCTATTGATGGGAGGAATGTGTGCGCTGGAGGGCGTCGAATTTCAAATGGCCTCCGATGCAAGGCTATCGACCCTCCACCGATCAGATAGCATCTACACACCGCTGAGGATCACCACCGCGGACGTTGTTTGCCAGCTGCAGTTCGTTCTAGAGGTTTTCCAACCGATCCTAGACGCGCCTCGTAAAACATGGTCAAGCTGAGGGTAAATCCTATTCCAAGGTTTCCACTAGGGTTAACAGTTGAAGCCTACGATGTAAACCTAACATGACAATCTCTGTTGGTTATTTTGCAACAGCTATTGCTGTTAGCATCTCACAAGTTTTTTTAGAAGTTGCTTCATCTTTTTCCTTTTCATCTTATTTCTATTTTTTCATTTGTCAATTTCCATTTTGCTCTGAGATATCAGAGTGTTAGAGTCGATTGCGTGAGGCAATTTGTTCTTTCCTTGCCAATAAATCTTAGGTTGTTTTTTCTCTAGAGCTCGTATATTCCTTTCCGTTTTTTCGAATAGTGTACCCTTTATTGATTTATGAATACTGGAGAAAATTGTATTCTTGATGAAATCAAATAGTATCACTTTTCCTACGGCAGAGTATTATTACCATATGGTTTACGTAGAAATATTCGGATTCCTTTCTATTTTCAGCCATACTTTCCCTTGCTGGACATTTCTCCAGTGCGTGAAAAATTCGGTTTACAGAACTGGACCCATTCCAGTTTGATTTTTTAGAAAGTAACGCTCTATGGATTAATGTTTTGAAATTTACACTTTTTAATTAAATCAGAGGAACCATGATGTTGTTGGTCAAGGAATCTAATAATAGAATCGCTTGAATCAATTCTAATCCGATTAGCTATTCGGTGACTCGACCCAGAACCGGTGAAGAATCCATTCTTCGTTTTGTATCAGAGTCTCTAAGCCGTTGTCCCTTGAGGGACAGAAGAAACATCGAATTTTTGGTGCTAGCCTTCTAAAGAAGAGAACGTAAATTTGGTTGCTCCCATAGTTGATGGGGTTTGTTTGCTAGAGGCGATCCTAAACTTTGCATGCGTTTTTGTCGTTTTTCATGAAATTGGCATACACGATACAGGCAGCACACATATTCGCAAATTATGAGTCGGTTATAAGTCGACTCAACGAAGTTGCTGTTCTCTTGAACTCCCCAGCGCCTCGTTGTTTCTTGTTTGGTGCCCTTTCCGTCACTTTACATGACATTTATTGACTCTCACATTGTGACCCGTGGACTGTGAAAAGTGCATTAGAAACCCGCAAAGAACTTCACTTCAGAAGGATGCTGTAGGTTAAAATATCCAGGAAGATGTTTTCAATGGTTAACACAACATGCGGCATGAAACGAAAATGATAACTTAGCAGGATTTGTGAGGCTTAGCCTGCATAGAAGATTTCTAATGATTGAGATTCAGCAGAGCCGCTTCTTCATGGAAACGTACCGTCCTAAACTTTTGCTGTTTGATACTGCTTACCACTGTTTTTTGAGGAACAAGAAGAAAAAGGCGCTTCAGCCGTGTGCATCGGAATCGCTGTGAGCTTGCCGTAATACCCGATAGAGGATCGATGCAAAGACTAATTCCAGCAAGCACTCCAGCTGCACTCCCTGCCATCGCCTTATTGTTCTTCTTCTCCCATTTCTTTAATTCTTCAGTTCAGTAGGTGTTTCCTCAGCACTTCTTGACAACAATGCGTTCTGGGCTTGTGTTTTAGCCTAAGCCATAGTTCATTTGACACATTTACTATTTAGATGTCGTTTATATCGTTAAAAAATGAATCGTCTATGTGTTTTCATAGCTGACATTCTTCTCATACATTGGGCAAGGCTTGTTTTTTAACAGTCTTTTCGATTTTTCTGCGAAGACCCTGTTTTTTTTCTTAATTTTTTATTCGTAGGAACTTTGTTCTGAACGAGATTTCTTGTCTTTCTCTTGGAAGGAGTTTTTTCTCCACCCATTCTTGGAGACATTCTAAAAAGTGTTCTGCACCAATTAACGTCGGCTTCGCGTATTAGTGCTTACTCGTTTTCCCTCATTAGCTGGCTCAATTTTGCAACAATGTGTAAGATCCTTGAAAAAGTGGAGTATTCTCATGCTGTCAGCGGTGAGCAATCCTACAATTGAGCTATATTCTGTTGATGAATTAGAACTCTTGCTAAAGAAGTACCAAGGTTCTCCAAAATATTCTCTTTATGTCTTAATGCTTGCCGGGCAGCTTGAAAGCATTGATGTTGGGCTGATGAGGTGGCAGTTCTCGGCGCTCGAGCAGTTCTAATCCGCTTGTAAATGGTGTATTGCAGTGCCTATCGCTTTCACAGCCTCGTCATCGTCTTTCACACCGCAAATTCTTCCTTGACAAAAACGGCTGTCTCAATGGCCCAACACTCTTCAGTCGCACAGAGATTCTACATCGTATTATATTTCCGGGTCGCTAGCGCTATCTGACCTGTTCATCGCTGCGTTGGTACCAAAGAAAACTTTTTAAATAAAAACTCAGCTAAAAGCGTAACGTGGTCTCACTGTAGAGGAATTCTGTGGATAGATTTCACGGCAGATATTTCACTACAGAACGGCTCAGTTGCGCATTAGTTCATTCTCCAAGTTAAAATCTCGTAGTTTTCTTCCTGCTTACAGGTATACGCATTTCCCATAAAGATATTCCAGCAGACGATAGAATTACTGTGAGTTTACCAAAAGGGTGGAAGTAGAAAGTTATTTCGTATGTAGCGTGACTTATCAATGAATCATTCCTAATTTTTCATGCACTTGTTTTTTGGTCGGATTATTTGATGCTTAAAGCTGACTAAATAACTGATCTTTGGGCACATTGATGGTCTAATTTAAAACTTGCTGAAATATCTCTCTTGTTCTTCCTCTCTGAACATATGCAGAATTCAGCCGCACTCCTTTGTGCAAGGCGAATGCTGTGTTTTTCTTCCGCTTTCACAGTGCTGTTCTCGTTTAGCTAGTGAACATTGAAATGAATGTAAGCCTAGTTCTAGCTAGAAGATCAGAACGAACGCCTCCGTCTGCAGAACCTGCGATGCACGACTCAGCTTCAGATGCTGAGGAGCTTCACTGAGAAGAGCAAGCAGCTGAAGGCTGAGATGGCGATGAGCAGAAGCATTACGGTTCGTTTCACTCTCTTCTCCATCGCTTCTATCATACGATCAAACGATCACAACATTTCAGCAGTAACCAGTCTAATGGTTCAGTTTTTACAACGATAGCAAATATCTCCAGTATTATCTCTAAAGAAAAATGCTTTTCAAGTTTTTTTCTGGAAAGCCAAGCAGTTCTCATTATGACGCCAAGAGCGCAGATGAGAGGACCATATCCCTCCATGAATTTGTTGTGGTACTTCTCTTAGATTATGAGCTATAACCTAGTCATAACTTAGATTATAAGTTCAAAGGACGACTTTGACAGCTATGTTTCTAACAGTTTTGTCATTAAGGGTGTTTAAGCGCTCATGAATGCGCCACCAATGTTTTCATTCTTTTTGCATTGTCTTCTATCTTAGTGCTGACCAGCCCATATGCTGTCGGAGATTACTAAACCGTTGTGCTTTGCTGTCGAAAATGTGGCAGTTCGTCAGTTTGCAACCCCCTTCAAAAACGCACGTGTCTTCTGTTCGGCCAATTCATCAGACATCGGTCTGACAAGAACTGCAATCTCACACAGAAGTCGAATCATAGACGGCGTAATCGTCTTCATTCAGTAATTCACTCACCTTACATTAGAAAAACAGCACGGAAGCCTATTTTAGATGCTCAAATACAGTGGTTCAATTCGGCAGTTTGATTTGAGACTCACATAGGATTGAGTCAAAGTGAGGCTAACTAATGAATAACATGATGGATTTCACTTCTTAAATTCCAATATGTTCGTAGTCATAGAATAACAACTAGTCTCTTGCACGGAATGGATTATTGTCTAGCCAATATCAGGAATTTTCAGAAGTATTTTTTTCGCGAAATACAGCAACAATGGTGCTGAGATATTTGCAAAACTCAGGACCGCAGGTTCTGCGGTGGAGAACGAACGCGGTATAAGCCTTTTCGGGAGCTAACGGGTTCACCACCACACCATGCGAGTCTCTCGTGTCACCTATCTCTCATCTAGTTCTCTATCGATCAGTGTCAACCATTTTTTCATTTCCTGCACTTTACCTTCTTGTAATCTTTTCAATCTTTCTTTTCATGTATTTGTGTCTATATATTATATTCACGTTTTTTTTTACTTTTTTTACTTTACTTTTTGTATAATTATTCTCTTTTTTAATTTTTTCCTTCTTTAGCAAGTTCTCAGAATCGTCAGCTGCCTTTTCGTTTGTGGTTTCGCTATTAGTCTGTGAATGAAAGTAACGGATTCAGGGAACCCTGCCCGTGGTGTGCGACATGGAGAATCGTACTTCGGACGATTCCGGCCTCACCAGTGACGACACCAGTGAACGGCGTCTCCTTGGTACCGGCACCATCGAATCTACATCCAGACAACCACGGAAACCAGGTGAGTAGTTGGGGTGATCAGCTGAGTTGCTTGAAAGCTGCTCGGGTAGCAATCGTCGAAATGTTTTTCGGCGTGGGGAATACATTTCTTCAAATGTTCTACTTTAGTAAACTCGGCTAGCAGATCTTTAAAGGTTTTTGCTATGTTGGCATATTCTTTTTATTTCGTCCAATATGTTATGAGGCTAGCTAATTTTGTTTCAGTGCGACTTCGGAAGGAGTCAAACGAATTGGAGAAGGGGTCATCTACCAGTGATTCGTCTCCATGGGAGGAGAAAGCGAAACCTATTCCTATTCCAAGGAAACTCACCGGAAACAATAATTTTGTGGGAAGTATATTTTTAGAATTCTTCTTTAATGATTTTTATGAAATGTTGTTTGACTCCAGGTGGAACGAGACAGCCTGAATTCTTACGCGGATGACTACGAATTTGACGTCGAAGACGAGATATTCGATGAAATATCTCCATCGGACAAGGAAGGGTCAGCTGTCCTTAAACTGATGTTTTTTTTTAAACGTCGGTCAAATTTTATATATTTCCAAGCATATATGACTTGATAGGTTTCCGATGACGACAAAAATTATTTGGACTCTACAGTGTCATCAAGTGACACTGAGGTGAAAACTTTGTGTACGGGCTGTCATTTAAAACTAAGACTACAGGCTTAGTAATTCAAGGAGTGAAACATCGTAAAATCTTTAGCTTATTCCGTCGGGCGGTTTTACTGAGAAAAATTCGTAGAGTTTCGCTTGTATCTTTTATGTTCTTACGGTATCATTATGATGCTTGATATCATAAGATGGTTTTTACAAGTTCAAATATCCTTATTCAGCAATCCTAAGTACGGTGGTTATGTTAATCTTTCGGATTTTGTCGTTATTCGAGACGACAAGGACACCTACGCAGACATCTCAAGGCTGCATTCAGAGCGACCAGCCCTTCCGGAGCATAGGCCAAAAGTTTGGGTAATAGAAGATTTCCTTTCTGCAACTCTACTTTTCTAAAAACAATATTCGAATCACGAAAAACTTTTTATCTCAAGGTGTTGTAGGAATATAATGGTTGTCGTTTTACAAGTCTGCATTGAAACATTAGGGTAGACTAGAGAGCTAGTAAGACATTAAAAAGGCTTAGGTAAAGTTGCAAGTATCTTGCATCATAAGTCAGAGTATTAGAAAATTGAAAAGGACGTGGATTCTAGTGATTTGTTCTTGTCAGCCTTTAACAAAGACAAACTTAACTTTTTTGAGTGAAGTGGTGTTGGTGGATTGGTTCCAGCCAACATTCCTCGTTTCCTCGAAACATTTGTAGTTAATTTAGATTTTCCATATGTTGAAATGTTTTAGGAAACGAATAGTGGGAATGTGGTGAGACTCTCGTTTCACATTTTCTGCTGGCGCCATCAAACGTCTTCATGTGGTGCTGCTGCTCCAGTCAGTAGCAATTTATCATTCCTTTTTCTAGGAGTCGAGGCTACTGCACTTGGCCGCCGAGTGCTTGTCAGTGAGTGATTGCGCTGCCGATGCCGACCTCCCTTGCAATAGCGATTCTCCCAGTCATCCATCCAACATTGGGGTAAACCTTTCAAATTTCCAACTGCTCATTTTGCAGCAACAACGTTCATGAAACCTAAAAGGTTAGAGGATTTCTAACAATGGATCCACCAACTCCTAGAACTTTTATGTAAAGAAAGGAAAATGAAAAAGTGGCTTTTCTGATTTGAATCTTAATATTTCGTCACCTTTCAATGTGGAAGACTGTCTTTGTCTCTTGTGGAAATGACAGCGCAATATTTCGGTAAGAGCAAGTGGAAAAATTAACAAGTTCTGCTTTTTCTGTTTTAAAGACTTCTGAGGTGACACTTTTGCAAAAATGTTACTAAATAACTGAAATGCAGAATAAGCAGACTGTGACAGAAGTAGACCAGGAAAGGATTTTCAGACTGGCTCTCCTTCACCACGTCGATCGTGTAGCAGTAAGCGGTCAGCTCATTCCTCTCCACGAGCGCACTCATTCTCTTCGATTTCTCCAATTACTCCTGAGGCTCTGTACGCCGTCAGAGACATTTCCGCGGAAAAACGCTCCGATGATGGCTACTACACTCCTCCTGATGCGTCCCGACACACTGGAGACATCCGCACGTCATTAATTCCGTCTTTTGAAACTGTACGTCCTTACGAGGTGTTAAGCGATGGAAATTTGTTTGTTAAATAACCAACTTCAGGCTAAAAAGCACTAATGAAAAATTGGACTTGCGTTTTCATTAAACCTTTTTTGCACAAAGAAATTGTCTGAATGTGTTTGTCCATTAGGGACCAGAAGTCGACAAAGAAAAATAAGTAGGCGGAAATATTCTGATATAATAATTAACCTAACCGAAGCACTGGCAAACGCTTGTGAAATTCCATTCTTTTAACAATATAGGTTATTTGTTGAAACCGTATTTCTAGGTAGAGAAGAGTGGCTACTGGAATCAAATGTCAGATTCACGGTTAAAGTCCCTAAAAAGAAGATTCGTTGTTCTTAAAAATAACCAGCTGAGCTTTTATCGGACGGCAGTGAGTCTTTCTTTAGCTTTGAGTTATCGGTGAAAGTTTGCTAGAATTTAGAACCACACTAGAAGTGAAATTTATCACTTTTAGAAGCAGATCTCTAAAGGAGAGGACCCATTAATGAGAATCCTAGTGTCAGACATCATATCTGTAGTGAAGATATCCCAGCAAGGTTCTACTTATGCATTCCAGGTATTCTATCCTTTGAACTTCTGCATACTCTTTTTTGAATATAATGTACCTTGAAATCACAGTGTCTTACTTTCTGTTGGGCAAGAACCTCTGGCAGTTACTGTTGACTTTACTGGGGTCTTGATTAAAAAGACCTTCATGTGGCGCAGCGAATTTAGGGAACTGGCTAATACTTTTGACGTTTTGTACTTGTGCATACACTAAAAAATTATGGGATTCCAAGTCCATGGTTTCGTTTGTTTATCTTGGCTAATTTTATCAGCTGGAAGCAAGCTACGTTTCATACGCCGGCGCTAAAAATGCCCGTTCTTTTTTCGAGATGATTCTGAAATGATAGCTTTTTCCAGTGTGCTATAAATATTTTGAACACCTCATTGAATTACCTTGCCATTCGTCGTCCTTACGGTGAACCTTATCGCCCTTCTTTCTAATTTGCCTTTGTCAGTTCAAATCAACAGAGGGAAATGATGCGGAATTGATGTCTGTGTAACTCTTTGGTCAACCCATATCAACACCAGCAGAAAACGCGACGCATTTTGTCGGGCGCGCCAAAGAGATCGTGGATTTTGTTCAGCGGTGTTTAGAAAAAGAAACGTATTTCGGTAAACGAGCAGTGGTCGGCAGTGGTTGCAATGATTTTCAACATCGTTTTCTTAAGAAAAAGGATAGGGAAATCGTTTTCAGGGCATTACGTTTTTTGGCGAGTTGCAGATATATCATATCGTTACTGGGGATTTCTCTCATCAAGCATTATTGACCGCTTTTTGTATTTCAGTTGGTTACTCAGTCATCTAAATACAATTTTATGACGGAAAGCGAACGGACCACTCACGAATGGGTCTCTACTCTTAATGCCGTTATTAAAGGTAGAAGAAGTTTATACTTCGTGTGAATTTGAGCTAAAAGACAGTGCTCACGGGTCATTATGAGTTCACAACTGGTCTGAAATGTTGGTCAGACATCAAAATATGAAGCGCTGGTCGCTCAATTTTGATGCGCCAAACCTCCGAACTTATCATGCTATTGTTTACCATAACGGTATAGATTTTAAGTGCGTTGCTGATTTCAGGCTCGACCCTGAGGGATCTGGCGACACGCTGTGCTCCGGTGGAGGCGTCAATCAGCGGCTGGATCACGAAGGTCCGCTGCGGTCACTCGAAGCGCGTGTATGCCTCACTAGTCCGTGATAAATTAATGTTCTTCAAAAACTCCGAAGATACTGTAAGTTTTGCGTGGGGTAGACTAGAACACTCCATTATTTCAGTACTCTAGAATGGAATATCTGTCAGCTATCAAAAGGTAGTGACGTTCCCTACTACGTCTATTCTTTTCAGCGAAATAACTTTTTCTTTCCAAAATTCCAATAGAACCCTCGAGCACTTTAGTTTGGAGAAGGGACGATTGAAGAGTTCTAGTAACTCTGCTCTCCAAGGAGTTCTGGTACTCGAACCGTCTTTGAATTGTAATATTTTCGACATATTTGAGAGATAGCGGTGCAAACCGTTGAAATGCGCCTACTCATAGTAACAACACCGAGAAGTCAAATAGGCTCACTGCGGTTAGATTTTCATTAAGATACCCACCATATTGATCGGAACGGATCTCTTGGAGCAGATTGAACAGGATTGCACAGATTTCAACCCATTTTCTTCCCAGTTGTCTGTTTTGTCACAAGGACTTCTTCTTTTGCCATACTTTTTACATTCAATCGATAGTTGCCACACCACATATGTTGCGAGGCTGTGGTCCGAAAAAACTTCATAATTTATGAATGAAAAAATTTTCGGAGGACTTTTCTCATTCGCTAATAAGAGACTGCAAACGGGGAAGTGCAACAAGATATTTTAGCTCTGCAGATATGAATTAATTAGTTTCAGAGCTATTCTTACCTTTTATACTGCTGGTTAACATGTAGAGTATTAAAGTGGTATTTAATGTGTTCTTCTCTGGAAAGAAAAGAAAACGGACCGTATGCGTTGAACTCAATGCATACCGCGCAGGGCAAAAGACAGTGCATAATCTCGCGCGGCTATGAAAGGGAATTGTGTCTACCATCTGCTAATGCGAGATCTAAAAAAGTTCCAAAGTTTAGTATGATCTGGCCTGTAAACAAATTTTTCTTTCCTTAGCTCTTAAATTTCAATATTAGAAATTGTTCGAAATCAGTACAATCTTTTCCAGTATGTTATTGAACCGCTTGTTTACCATGCAGATTCCCTGTGGCTTCACGCAGCTGAAATGTGCCTGTGTCATGGATAAACAGAAAATTTCATCAGATGACTATAGTGGCAGTAGCGACGAACAGAACCCCAATAAAAGTCCACCTTCACACAAAAAGGATTCTTATTGTCTCAGTATAGAGGTTTGTACGTTGAACGTTTTTGGAATTGAAGGGAATACAAGAGAGTTGAAGTCTTGGAGCTTCAATTTAAATATTTAATCCTTATCACCCTTGCGTACATTTTGCAAGAGAGTCTTTTACTCATAAAGCTCATTGAGCCTTTCCGGCCTAATTTATCGTAAAATTAGTTGACACAATCCGTTTTCCGCTTTCGTTTTATCACGCCGCCATATAGAGTGAACACATAAACTCAGGACATGATGGTAAAAGTGCTGATGTTTAGACGAAAAAGCTCCTAATGAAATTACAATGCAAACCGTTGTTCAGAGTTAGACATCCGCTTAACCTTCAGCGTTGAATTTCCGTTGTTTCCAGATAGCAAATGAGGATCCATTGTACATAGTGTTAAGGAGTAGCGAAGAAAAGGAGAAATGGCTGTATTTCTTACGAACTGCTAGTGGAGACGCCACCTTGTGTGGGTCCCCATTCACTATTCTTGTGCAGCGCATGCTTGCCGAAGGGGGTACTCCAGGTGGTTGACAATACCGATATTTTTCATCTACCTCTAAATCCTCGTAGCAACGAAATTTCAGATTCTCCGCTATGGGCAGACTTGTTACTAACCTCTTGTGATGACATGCCAAAAGAAACTCTGATGGAGTTTGAAGAAGCAGATAAGAAAAAAGCTCTCGAAATTGCCAGAGTAAGCACCTCAGAGTGATTTCTGTTGTGTATAGAGGCTATCATACTTGGCCTATAAACCCATCCCTTACTGTCTTGTGGACTCACTAGACTACCTGAAAAATAAATGCCATTTCTTCAGTTCAATTTAGTGCATTGTTTTCCTAATCCATTTTTCTCCCTATATTAGTGTCTTTTTATTTTAATTAGCTTTGAATTTCGGTTTCATAGAATAGGAACGGAAAATACTTACTCGAATTAATCTTGCAAGACTTCGAACTTCGAAGTTTAGCCGCGTAAAGCATTTGCATTGGCTATTCTGCTTCTCCTCCCAACGGTTTACCGCTTCATCGTGGCTGGGAGATGTTCCTCGGTGTCGGACTGCGATGCACAGCGGGGGAATTCGTTCTCCCAGCAGGGTCTCCCAAGCTGAGAAAGAGTCCGACGTTTCCAACAGGAAGCCTAGCTAAGAGTAAATCAATACCAGGATTCACCACCGTCTTAGTATTAAAGTCGCATGGTGGTAAATCTTCCTATGACCCACAAGGCCTACGACTGCCTGTCGTGGTGACGAACCTGGGGCAGACTTTGGTCAGGCTGTCCTCGCGATTCCAAGGAACCACAATGGCTTAACCAGCAAATCTCTGAAAAATGGAGATTACACTGGGGCCCGCATAACCAGTGAGGACGGGCAGTTCAATTATCAAGTAAACACTAATTATCCTGCCTTTATGCGAGCAACAACGAGAGAGACCGTAGTGTGTAAGTTCGGGTCACAATTTATGATGAATATGAGAGCTCCGAAGACGAATAAGATCTAAACGACAGTTTGCGATGCACGTTGGGCATCTGAAGACGTCAACTGGTGTAGATTCGCCCATAGCAATGCCGAAGATTGCAAAATCTAAAGTAAATGGACCCAAGGTTTCAGAACAATCGAAATGGAACGTCAAGAAAAAGCCACAAAATGAGTTTTGAGAGAATTGTGACAAAATGACTTTGTCATGACATTTGTTCACAACTTCTTCCTCGTCATCAAGACGATCCCTTTTTCTGATCGCATCATGACATACGATGAAAAAGTCTTTTCTACGATAGCCGTCTTCGTTCCGCTCAAGGTTACGGAAAGATAGAGCACTGAGACATTTCCCGCAATCGAATTCGCCTCAAAGGGAGGCTATGGGAATCGTTTGATTATTGGAGCGGATGTTACTAGGCACTATGACTACTTGAATCTTGACTGCGAAGGAGGAGCTTTCTCGGCGAAGAAATGCACTAAGAATTGTAATTTCTGTGTTTGACACTGATCACTATGAAGAGACGTTGCGCGATCACGCTAACCCCACATCGCGCAGTCAACAGTGCAACAGTTAATCATTTGGGACGAAGCTGGCTTTTTGATGACTGTTGACTATTTCTCGATCGCTCGGCCATTTTGGGAATTCAGCACCTTGCGGTTTATAAAGGAAACTTTACTCTACCACTCTTTCATATGTATTTTTTGCACAATGTTTTCTAAAATTTAAATGTTTTTAGGGTTGGATCTTCGAAAACTGAAAGCGAAATTTAACGTTTTCACAGTATCAAACGCAACATCAGCAGCTGCAAACAAAAACGATACACTGAGAAGCACCATCTATTTTTGCTTTCGCGTCCGAAACATGAGCCTTGAAGATAAATGGAAAATGTTATGGGTTTCAGAACACTCCAAGACGATGCTGAGATATTTGCAAAACTCCGGACCGCAGGTGTCTGCAGTGGGGAACGAACGCGTCATTACCCTTTCCGGGGGCTAACGCGTTCACCACCGCATTATGCGAGAGTCCTCTCAGCTAGTTTTTTATCGATCACTGCCATCAGCAATCATTGTTTTCGCGCACTATGACTCCTATAAAAGCCAGCTCGCAAAAATGTTCAAAGGATCGGAATTTTAAATTTGGCCTTATCCTGTAAACTCATCTGACTTTCTCATTCACGATACATGACGATTAGGATGGTTGTTTTCATTCCTAAAATCTCTTTCTTGGGTTGAAACACCTAAAGTTGAACATGGGAGTTAAGGACGGTGATCATTTTCTGAGGAAATATTTTCTGAAGATAGGAAATTGGCTTGTTAAATATTTTTCCTATTGTTTGATTAAAATTGAATCTGCGTGAAAACGTATGGCATATTTGACCCCTGAACGCCATTTTATAACAGCTGAACGTATAATGCTTTGCTAACCAGTTAAATTGCTTAAAATTTGAAATGTGAAGAAAAATGGGGAACAATTCTAAATTTTTGAGCTTTTCAACAAAAATACTGCGGCTGCCCACCTCGCCAACATATTAGGAAACACCATCGCGGTCTATGCTATAAAATCTACAGCACCGGAATTCGGAATGCGAGTATCGCCGAAGAAGGGCGGGAGAAACACGTCTTGTTGGATCTAGAAATTGGAAAATTTGTTTTCTGTCATGCAGAAAGTTGAATCTTGTTGGCATAGATTTCCAAATGGTTTTTTGTGCAGATCAACACACTGTGTGCTGACATGTAGCTTTAAACAAGAGGCGGTTATCACCATTGCTGTGTTGCATTCAAATCAATGCGCGTCGTCCGTAATGTGCTCATTCACGGGCCATTCATAGACATATTATAAGCCTTGGTTTACGCAACTTATTTCATATTTCGCTTTTCAATGAAACTAGGTTCTCTTTCTGATGCTATATCTCCATGCCATATTTTTACACCATAATTGGTATCATTTATTGTTCTAGCTTTATAATATTCTAGAAGATTCAGTAGATTTCAGTCTGTTTCATCTTAGTAGTGAAAGAATTAAATCTAATGTAATGGCGAATTATTACTTATCCATAAAGTGTTGGAGTGCAGAAATCACAGAAATCGAGATTTCTACGATCTTTGTTGAGTCCAAGATTATCGAAAGTTCCGTTGTTCAGGCAATGTACTTGTTCGTGTCAGTGTTGATGCGTCCTACTGCCGCTCAGTACCACATTGATCTCGCACAGAATATTCTCTCAACTGCTATGCAAGTAAGGCATTACACGCATTGAACTCCAACCCAAAACCTACGTATTGATTTTGGCGGAGATTCAGTCAAACGGCCGCGCTTGCCACTATGTCTCTAGCACGTTGTGGAATTAACATGGACCTATTTTACGTTGAAGTCGTGAATGTAGCAAACGAAAAGTGCTGGAGTTTTAAATGTTGAAAGTATTACAGCACGATTTTCTTCGTAACGAGGTGTACGCACAGCTCATTAGGTTTACGAGCGGAACAATGCCGTTTTCTATCCAGGTGGAACACATTTTTTATTTCCTAGGCTAGGCTTCGCAGACGAGATCTGTGGGCTTTTTAGGGATGGAAACTGCTCGCTATGGCAATTCCGCTGTTCGTTCCCACTCAATATTCGCTCCTTTGGTTGCTAAAGAAACACATTTCTCGATGGTGCATGATGACGTAAATGTTTTATTATTTAATGCCACAATAATCTATCTACATTTCCGTATCGACCAAATCGCTCGAAAACCATTACTCCTCAGTAGAAGTGCGCCCTTTAATTATTACTCAAGTGATGTTGGAAACCTCTTTATAGATGATTGGCATGTGAAATAGCTTAACAATATTATTCGATCCTATGAATAATTGAACTCTATCTTTTCTTAACCTTATGATACGTTACACGTACTTTATGTTTCTTGTTACTTGATACTTGATACTTGAATGGCCCATCCTCACTGGTTGTGCGGACCCCAGCATAATCTCCATTTTTCGGAGATTTGCTGGTTAAGCCATTGTGGTACCATGGAATCCCGAGGATAGCCTGGCCAAAGACTGCCACAGATCTTCACCACCACAGCCAATCATAGCCCTTATGGATCAGAGGGGGAGATAGTGGATCCTGGGGTTCACTCTTAGCTAGGCTTCCTGATGGAAACGTCGGACTCTTTCCCAGCCTGGGAGATCCTGCCTGGTGGTGAATTCCTCGCTGTACATCACAATCCGACACCCAGGAACACCTCCCAGCTACGACGAGGTCGTAAACCGTTAGGAAGACCTTATGTTTCTAGCTTGTTAAGATTCAAACAAACAGCAATATCACGAGTCTGTTCTCTACATTCATCATTTTTATTACATGGCATAGAGCGGAATATCCCAGTAAATTTGGAAGAAGCCAATTATAGAAATCTTGTGCATCTACCTCCAGATGTTTTCTGTTATTCCAGACGCGATGAGTCGGGCATGGCTGAGTATTGTCAGCGTTCTCTCGAAAGAGCACTACAGGTAGGAGGACGAGAAGCTGGACCTAGTCGGCTGGAGACGACATCGGTTTTGACTAGAGATCCAACCACTACCAAGTTTCCTCATTCCATATCAGTGCGGCTACCAAACGGCCAGTACCAGGTTGGATTTCTATGGGTATTTTGTTCATCTATTCAAAAATTCGTTTTTCATATTATTCTTTCGCTAAAAAGTAAGAAATGGTTTGCCTGATGTGCGCAAAGAAACTTGAAAATTAAGCTTCATAATATAAACCGACGAAGGAAATGAAAAATTGACTAATTACTTTTCTATATTTTATCCTTTTGTGAGGACCTGCGTACTTGGCTTTGCATAAAGCTCTGTGAAACAAAGCTTTCAGAATTTATTTTACTGACGTGAAGGGATGCGTGTGGCTCATGTAACGCAGTAGTTAAAGGTGCACTGCAATACACAAGGATCCGATTACTCGCCTCAGACCAACCAAGCCCTCCATCCCTCCGGGGTTGACAGATTGGTACCAGACCTGTCTGGAAGTATAACAACACTGGCTCGATACATGGGTGGGCGTCAGCGACTCTCTGTAAAGGCCATGTATGCCTATGCCTCTAACGATGCTTAATGAAACCGAACGCATGATGCATCTCTCATGTATTAATCGATGCCAAGAGCTTTATCGTTTGCCCCTTATCCTTTTATTCTATTGTTACTCTAACCAACTCTATCCACGTCTTGTAGTATTTCCCACGACCGACTTTCTATTAATCTCGGCATTGACCAAATAGTTCAGTGCTCTCTTGATGTGCAAGCACGAGGTTGTTACTTTTTCATTATTTATAAAGAAGCTGACGTTTCGGCGGATTCCATCCAAACATCTCAATAACCATAACAAAAAAGACACGAAACCGAGATCTCAATCTCATTGAAAACAAGGCAGCTTCTTCTCATAGTCTCCTCTTTCTATAAGTCTTCCACTGAATATGTCACGTGGAGAGCAACCGCACAGAGTTCTCATTTGTCATGTCTCCACGTGACATACTCATTGGAAGACTAATAGAACGTGGTGAATGTAAAGCCACTTTGTGTTCAGTGTGATTGGATTCTTGGTTTAGCATTTCCTTGTTTGGTTATGGAGGTGTTTGGCTAGGTAGACTGCAGTCAACTTGACCTTTCCACGCTCTGAGGAACACGAAATCTACGGGAACGTCAGCTTGTTTATAAATAAGAAATAAAGTCACAGCCTCGTGTTTGCTCATTAAGAGAATACTGAATTAATTCTATATAATTCTTGCCATGTATCTTCAATGCTTTAAATCGATGAAATCGGTGATTTTCATCAATTTAAAGAAGGCTTTTGATTCAGTTGAGATAGAAACAGTCTTGGAAGCCCTTGGTAGTTAGAGAGTCTCTACTCAGTACGTAAAGAATCTTCGTGAGCTGTACAAAAATTTCACAACCAAGATATCAATATTCTATAACGATATTAACATTAACTTCAAAGGAGGAGTTAGGCAAGGCGATACCATCTCGCCAAAATTATTTACCGCCAATCTCGAGAACGTCATGCAATAATTGGAATGGAACAATGTGGGAATGAAAACCCGCGCTCGGTAATTACACTATTTTGTTTGGATTATGATATCGTTTTTGTAACACCAAATAATAACGAAGCGAAACAAATGATTCCCGACTTTGGTAAAACCTGTGGGAAGATTGGTCTTCGACTAAATCTTACAAAAACGATGTTCTTGAGGAACGTATTTGTTACGTATGTTTCAATCGACGTGATGAACGACTTAGCTCCAGATTTGAGCAGAAGGAAACGAGCGGTTTGGAGAGCTTTCAAGAGATTGAGGATGTATTGAAGAGAGCAAAGAACACTCGAATCCGTGCCCACCTTTCGGCGTTTGCTCAACAAGAATACGAAGAATTGCGATGTTAACCACAATAATGCTGAGATATTTGCAAAACTCCTAACTGCAGATATCTGCAGTGGGGATCGAGCACGCTATTACGCTTTCCGGGGGCCAACGCGTTTACCACCACGCCATACGGGTCCTTCCTTTCACTTTTCTCTCAGCTAGTTTTCTGTCTACTAGTGCTATTTGCAATAACCCGTCAACAGGATTTATCTGTGGAGCACAAATCGGTGTTCAATCCAGTTAAGCTGAGACCGTAGGACGCGTTAGCCTCCGGGAAGGGCGTGTTGAAACCCTACCGCAAACACCTGCGGCCCGAAGTTTTGCAAACATTCAGCATCATTGTGGTTGTAATTCATATAGCACCGTGACTTGAAAAATTATAGTAAGCAGTAAATAAAAAGTTAGCATTGCGACTTTATTCAAGTGTTTTTGTGGAAAGAACAAAGAATGGAAATGCTGAAGTGTGTCGCGTTATCATTTTCAGTTGAAGTTGTGACATTCATTTTGATAGAATGCTTGACTAGCTGAGATTTATGGGCTCTTAAATTTCTGATTACAAGCTGCACCCGCGGGATCTTGCCAATTTGGTCGAGGTTTGTTTGTCAATTTAGATAAACAACGGGAATTAAAATTAAACCTCAGAAACCCTTCGATCAACAAAGAAAAGAGGCAAATAAAAGATTTGAAGCAAACATCTTTTACAAATAGTCCGTTTACGATTAATCCCACTATTGGCCTTTAAATTGCCAGCTCTGTTATCTGCATCCTGCACACCTTTAAATGTAACCTCACTTTGCGCTGTTAAATTGCATATTTTTGATTACAAGCTGCAAACACGAGAGACAAATGGTCGTTAGCTTGATATTCGATATCTCGCTCACCTGGCCAACTAAGCAATTTCTCCTGTTTTTTCGGAATCGAAAATTTGTACGAGGTTTCTCTGGAAGAATAGAAAAGACGACTTGTTGTATTGCTAGTCCTCAGTGGTGACAGGAAGAAGTGAATCGGATAAAAGGATCGGAGCTGCATCCCGCATACTTATAAAACATCGAGGGACTAAGAAACCTCGCATGGGTAGCGAGATTGCCAAAACAATAGAAGCTAATAAAGAGAAGGAGAAAGCTTTTCAAAAACTCACTTGAACAATTGGCGCAATTGAAAGTGTACGATGTTGTATCATGACGTACCAAGGAAGGGAAATCGACTGAGATCGAAAAAGGGAAAAGTGCTAAAGTAAAGAAGACGCAAGCCTGAACTTGGTTTTCGCTACCTTTCCTTTTCTACGTAGGAAGTTATGTGTTTTGTTTCCCAATTTTAATTGTAATTCTATAGCTCTACTATTCTTCACTGAAGAAGAATGTATATATTCAAATATGCATTCATTCATCTATGTGATACTTAGCGACCGTGGGGAATACCTTTTCTCCCTCATATCTTAAGCCTAGTCCTCTTCTTTGCTTACTTAATTAACCCAACATTATATGATCAATTTTTACTTAGCACTCTATTGATTTGTTGATTCATGAGAATATAATTAGGAAAGAAATACAAAAAATATGTGGAGGATAGAGGTCAACTATTTAAAACAGAAAGTGAAAAGAACATAAGATGTTCTGATCAGGAGGGTAAAAGTTAATAGTGCCGTTGCGGCTAAATATTTCAATTCAAATAACCAGTGATTATGATGGAGCATGTAAGTGCAATGCATTTTATGAAGTGCGGAATTAAGTACTATAATGCTGAGATATTTGCAAAACTCCGAACCGCAGATGTTTGATGTGGGGAACGAACGCGCTATTGTCTTTCCGGGAGTAACGCATTCACCACCACACCATGCGGGTCCTTCGTTTCGCTTGTCTCTCAGCTAGTTCTGTCGATCTTTTGCCATCAGCAATCACCCGTCAACGAGATTGATCAGGGGAGCCCAAATCGGCATTGAGCCCAGTTGAGCTGAGGTTATAGTTATAATCACAACCTTAACCTTTTTATTTACTGCCTATTCATTTGCAAATATCTCAGTATTATAGTAGTTATATTTCGCAAAATACACTGCCGTTAAAAAGAATAGGCAGTAAATGAAAAGGTTAAGATTTCGGAATTAAGATTGGTTAAATGTCATGATACAAGATCGCGTATGCTGGAAAAAAGTTTTCTTGGCCGTTCAAGTGTATTCGAAGAACTTTATACCATTATATGAGCACTGCGCCTTGCTGGAACTGCGCCTTATAGGTTGTGGAGTTCGACGGATCCACAGAAATCGGTCAGTGCCTGTCGTCATTATGTCTGAAACTGGGTATCCGACCGGCGTTGCTGTCCGGATACGCACTCTACATCGACGATCCAATCACGAAGGGTCTCCGGCTGCTCAAAGGAAAACAGAAGGTAGGATTCAACACTCCTGAAAGGGAACTACAGTTATCCTTGGAAGTTCATTCAAGAATAGCGTATCAGGATGAGATAAGTTACAAGTCGAGAATGACAGAGAGGTGTTGCACTCAAAAAGCTAAATCTTTACAGCTCTGTGACTGTCTCTACGAATGGGAGGTTCGGCAGCGAGATGTATTACGAGGAAGGATCTCAACAGACTTTACAGCTACCCTTTCGCTTCGGATGCGCCACTATTGGAGGCATTTGGTAAGTGATTTGTAGTACATAAATGAAGTAAGGAAGCTCCGAAGCACGACAATACTAACTTTTTTTCGTCTTCTTTTTTAGAGGTAGTCTGCATAATTTTTTTCAGACATATTTTACTGTAAGAAACAGCAACAAAGTACCACTGACTGTTGTACAGCCATAGGCTGCTCCAAAATTTATTGGCAGAAGTGTTCTGTTCAAGTAGTAGAAGCTCAGCTTGTAACGGCGAATTTCGTATAGAAGCCACTTTTCATTTTTCGACCTGGCTGCCCTTATTAGAAGTATTCTGTAGATCTGAATTTCAAGTTGAGAAATTTAGTTGACATAGATATCTTGCATAATCTCAGCTAAGGATTTTCACTTTTTTTCGTGTGAGTTAGTTTCTTTTGTGTATTGTATAATTTAAAAGACTGACCTTTCATAACGCGGCTGCGGAGTGATTGGATATTTAAGGAAGAGTTTTATCGTATGTTGTAACTTTTGTAACAACTTCAAGACGACTTTCACTGGTCTATATTCATGCATTGCAGGAAATGGTTCAGTTTTTCGATTCTAACACCTTTAGTGCAGTGCTGATTTTCTGACAACTATTGATAATTCTCCTATGGTAAAACTGTTTCAAGTGGTTGCTCAATTGATAAACTTATAGAAGAAGAAGGCACGTGTGGCGCAGTGGTTGGAGGCGTCACTGCAACACACACGTGAAATCGCTTCCCGCACTCATGGCTCGCCAAGCCTTCCATCCCTCCGGGTCTCCAAATTGGTACCAGACTTGTCTAGGAGGATAGCTGCACTGGCTCGATACGGGAGGCCACGGCGAGTCATTGTAAAGGCCAGATATGCATTCATCACCTCCAACGACACTTAATGAAGTCGAATGCATGACGCAACCCTCATGATTGATCAACGCAGAGAGTTTTATCCTTCTTTTAGAAGAGGACTCACAGAAGAACTTTGGAACTCATACTAGAAGTTATAGAGGAAAACTTTGCAAATATCTCTGCATCAGTGTAGTTGTGTTTCACATCACACCCTGCCATGAAAAAGGAATAGGCGGTAAATATAAAGTTATTACATTGTGACTTATACTACGGCTTCAGCTCAACTGGGCTCATTGGCGATTTGTGGTCCTCAGATCAATCCCACTGACGGGTGATTGCTGATACCAATATAAAAGGCGGTTGAGAAAAAAGGGAAAGGAAGCGCTCGCATGGTGTGGTGGTGAACTCGTTAGGAACCGGAACGGATAATAGCGTGTTCGATCCCTACCGCAGACACCTGCTGTATGCGAGATTTTGCAAATATCTCAGCATCAGTGTAACTATAGAAGAAAATTTACGCTAACGCGTGCATATTTTTCTCCAATTCATTATTTTGAAATATAAATTTCAACCTCCTGTTAGCTTATTAATGCAAGAATACATGTTGATTAGTTGTATCGAGGTTTAAGGAAATTCGCTTTGCCTAATATTATTCTAAGATTAAGTATTTTATTGATTAATTCCCGACTTCCTATTAACCTTGCCTTTTACCGATTATCCACTGTTTTTCTTCGATGAGCAACCACGAGGTTGCTATGTTATATTATGTTATATTGTAATATGAACCTCATGCTTGTTCAGTGAAGAAGAACAATGTTTGTATAAAAATCTGAAAGAGAAACTAGCAGAGCTTAAGAAAGTTTTAATGGAAAGGCGACAAATCCCATTGACGAAATGTTCGGGGGTCTTCTTCTGGACGAAACGCCACTTCACTTTTCGAAGTACTTGCTTTAACGAAGAAGAGATTCATCGTTTTTAGGAAAATGGAATTTTGTTATCGTAAAATAGGAGGACTTGTATTTTGATTGTAAAGATCTGTAGATTTTAATCGTTTCTATTCCTGTCTGTTATGAGTTGAGATGTACTTTTTTGAAGTGTTTGAAGTTCTAAGGTCATTTTCGGGCATTTTTTACTCCTTAAATGTCTCAAATCGTCCACTGTTTGTGAGCAAAGGACCGTTTGATCGCTAGAAAGTCAAATTTTGGGGTTTAGTTTTTCCTTCTGTAAACTCCACAACTTCAAGTGAAAATAACCTAAGCAAGTGACATTTGAGATGAGCATCAGCCAAGTGGAATAGAATCATTTACCTTAAAGAATGAACATTTAAATAAAAGGGCACTCATTATAAAAATTCATTGCGGAACCGATCACCTTCATCTTCACACAATTTCTACTAGAAAAGTGTAAGATTAAAATGGTCAAAAAAAGATAGCGAGGCGAATTATTCGTTGGAAACAAGGAATAATGGCACCTTTAAAAAATTCTTTTCTATTCGGGAACAAAAACTAATACCAATCACTGAGTCTACACGCACTACTTTGATCTCTCGCGTATTCTCTTTCATCCGCTGAGCATCCGGAGTTTCGGTTTGAAAACCTGGCTAACCTCGTTTTCAATGGTCAGTTAGGGAATCCACTTCCAGAGAAGTGCGATACTTGGAACTATAGAGCTGGTGACATTGATAGAATAAGGTCGGAGCCGTTTGGCGGTTGAGGAAGAATCTCCTTAGCAAAGTACAACTGCTTTTCGAGAGTTAGGAGCCAGTCCTGATGAGCACTAGAATGCTCCATCTTGTCATGATTCTTCTTCCTTTAATAATCTGAAGAAACCCAACTGAAAGTGGCCATGAATGCAAGTAGTTGATCATCCTGTTGTACCAGTGATGGTGGGTGAGGATTCACATCGTGAACAGCGGGTACCAACCACCAAATCTAGAGCATGACCTTCGTTTCCAAGAATTCGGCCATGTATCAGCTAATATCTACACGGCTTCTAGCCACTTGAACTTGCGAGTAAAGTTTGGCTAAGAAGCTCATATCTCTAACTGGTGACTGCCTGTGGGAGCCACACCTTGTTTCGGCTTCATAGCAAAAGTTGTTCACTAATGTCTAAACGATCGTTGCGATCTTTTCCCAACAGAAATTGAACTAACGCATGTGCGAGCGTCTTGATTTCTACGAATACTACCTATCTGCCACACATGTCTGCGAGTGGAACGGCTTGTAGTTCATCCATGGTAAACAGGAGTCCACAACAACGTTTGGGTAAATCGCACTATGAACGTTCGCATCAAACCAGGTGTATTCGAGGCTCGAAAACGTAAAATACGATGGTGTTCTCGATCAGAGTTTGCACTTCCTTTAAAAGCAAAGGATGCCGATAACTTCATTGAAATACATAAGTTTCGATGGCATACCATACTAGAGTTTGGTCCAAGAAAATCAAAAATAAGATTTTGTGAACCTTTTGAAATTTGCTTCAAAACATTATCTTCAACCAGTTTCCACGTCTTGCATCAAGCGGCGCAGCGCTACGGATTTTCCCAATATTGCTCTTTTGAACTAAACTTTACGTAACCACAATGATGGTGAGATATTTGCAAATCTCCGGACCGCAAGTGATTACAATGGGGAGAACTCGCGACTACCCTTTCCGAGGGCTAACGCTTTCAACACCACATTATGCGGGTTCTCTTAATCTTTACGTACTTTGTCTGGATAGTTGCCAATAGTGGTGCACAAACTAGAATTTAAGACTACATCAGTCTAAGGGTGAGGTATAAATGAAATATGATGCATACAGATGAAATAACTGACTTCATATGGAAGCACATTTGAATAGCAGTTATAACACAAGCTGAGCCCAAACGTAAACCTTTTTACTTTCTACGGCAGTATCTTCGCTATATTTTTATTGTCAAATGCATCCTCCAATTTTTTATTCTGCTAATAAACTCGTTGAGACAGTAAAAAATTTGGTCTTGAAATACCTTGTGTTAACAACCGATGGACTTCGGGTCTGCATAAATCGTCTTGTATTTAGATTAAAGTAAAATTAATGCTAATTTATTAGCAACTCAGGTTTCTAACGAGACTGCTATGGAGAAATCATTCCTTGTTTGGCGAATGGCGGAAGAACTAGTGTGTGGGCGGGTTCCCACAAGCCCTCAACTGGCTGAACAACTTGCTGCCCTTTATGCACAGGTATTGTAACTGCGAAGTAATATCTAAGATTTTTTTTAGACTGCAGTTAATCTGTAAACGTGGACCTATTTTCGTTGTTTTCGATGGTGCGTGTAGTGCAGTGGTTAGAAGCGCCCTTTAATACGCCCGCAGTTGTTGGTTCACTTTTGGCTAGCCAAAACACCCACTCTTCGAGGTCGGCAAATTGATGTCAGACCTGTTTGAGAGGATAGAAACACTAACTTCTTATAACACCAGGCCCTCTCATTTCAATGTTTAGGATAAATTGCCAAAAATTCTGCGATGTTTAGTGAAGTTGAATGCATGAGGTATCCCTAACAAATTGATTAACACCGAATGCCTTGCTTTTTAGCCTTATCTTTTGCGTTGCTAGGTTAGTAGGAGAGAAGTAGACGGACATAAATACTCATGCTCTGACTGTCAGTTCTAGTGGTGTTTTTCCTTAGCTCATTTGCTCTTTAGGCACACGTGCAACAGATATCATTTGACATATGTAATGGAATGGCAACATGTTAGTGTTCTTTTCTGAATTGGGAATGTAAACAATATTTTTAATTACCTAAAAAGATTCGACTGAACGTCCATGGGACCATGGCTCTCGTTTCTCTCACAAAAATGGCTGAAAGAGGAAGCTGGTGGATAGAAGTTTCAAACACTCTCCCTCAGGAATGCTGCTTGTTTTCAACCCATCGCCGTATGTTATTAGCGGTCTTACAGATGTAAACAAAACTTGAAATTGTCTGCATGTCAATGGAGAGGAGGCTCTAGGACAGAAAAATATCTTTCAGCTGTCCTATGGAGATGCTCCAGCTCATATATCAGACGAGCAATTCCACTTCATTACAAAGCAGTTTTACCCAGCGAAAATGCTTGATGTTGCTTGCTTGAAATCGCTCAGGTAGGTCTCACCATTGCGTAAGACCTAAATACTTCGCTAGTTGCTTCCCATTATCTTGAGGCCATTTTCCAAAGATTCATTTATTTCGACACACGTTCAGATCCTCCGTGCATTCGTGTTGGAGCGAGCTTTGTGGTATGGGCGAAGTGGACTCGATGAAAGTCATCTTGCAGGTAAGGATCTTTCCAGAAACCTACACGTCTGCTATCAGGTATCTTGTTAAAAGTTTCAAGAGCACTAACTGGATTTCAAGGATTCTTCCTTTTGAGAGTACTCCTTTGATATATCTTCCGAGATACTACTATTCTTATTTTTCCATGAACTTAGTTATCAGACATGACCATTGCGGGACATTTTATAATAATGAGCTTTTCCTTTGTTCGAACGTGAACTGTCGCACTACTCAAAATTACACGAATAAATGATTACCGAACTTCATAGAAAAGTGGCTATTCATGCCTACCACAACATCATTTTTAGACTATGTGAGCTTTTATCGTTAATGAGAATAAGAAGATTCCCGCAGCTGAATGGAGCACTAATACGTATTACTTTCTTTCAGGTTCTTCGTAAATGGCCCCTTTTCGGATGTCACCTACAGGTGGCCGGAATGAGGACTAGCAACGAACGCAAGGTGTTCCTCGCTTTGGCCGACACCGCCGTGCATGTGGTCGATCATCGCCATTTCGTAAGCTATTAGTTTCCAGTAGTAAAGTTCAATTTCTGTCCAGACTGAGAAAAGCCACTTATTTGATATTTTCATTTTTCTACAGCGCTTTTGAATATAATTTCATCTCAGAAAATGGATAGGTCGAAAAAGTAGTGATTTTTAATGCCCGATTTAAAACACTTATTGCTCATGACTTTAATATTTCAAAATTTCGCCTTATCCACGAATGTTTTCTCTTTGGTCGACAAAATCGAGTGCGGGAGGTGGACCATACTAATGATAACCGACTGCATCACTTGCTTCTCCGTTGATCACATGTTCACTGTATCCATTTGACTTCTGACGTGGCAAAGTTGTCCAAGGCACTCTACTAGCTATGAGGACTTTCTGAACATCATATTTTTTCCAGGAGTTTTATAAAGAATTCTGATCATCGGATCCCCTTTTCTCATTTTGTGAGTGCTACATCTCGTAAACTCAATCGCTTAAGACTTTTGTCCACTGGTTGTCGTTAGGTCGCACCACGTGTCTGGCCGGCTTGGAATTCGAAATCTCGGCATATTAGACAATGCCGGCCGCTATTCCTTGATTGTGAAGTAGATTGAATTTTCGGATTCTCTCCGTCATTTTCGTGATAGAAGATAGTACTAACATCGCCCTTCGATAGCGGGCTCCATGACGCTGAGTGATCTTCCGTCCTCCTTACGTAGCATCCAGATTTCTAATGCACACTTTAAATCAAGAAGAATCGTAGAGCGGGAATGTGGATACGTTGTTTCTTTTCCTCTTCGTTATATTCTCGTTGCCTTGATCAGCTAGCTGACAATCCTATCCACTGATTTCCTTATGCCCATTTCTGCAGCCAAATCGTTCGTTCACCGCCGTGTTCACTTCTCAATCCAGATGCAGAGATCAATCGAAGGACGATTTCTCACTGTGCCCTCATGGAAGTATTTCTAGGAAACACTGCTTCTACATCAGGTTTTCTATAATAAGAAGCAAAGAAAAAAAAACAAAATGTTTGGAATTGAATGATTTACTTGTTTGAATGTCCGCGTAATAATGCAGTGGTAGCAATAATAATAAAGGGAAAGATTAACACCTTTTTTGAAAAATTGTGGGATTTTCTTTAAAAACTAAAAAAATTTTGAAAATTTTGTTCATCAATAAGGGACTTCCAGAAGTTGAGATGAGTTCAAAAGTAGCATTTCAAGGAAGTGATTCGGTCGTTTCCATACAACCGATTGGCGTCATTCGGTGGCTTTCACAACGACTTCATGCTGACGGCTGAGCGATTACTCCTCCCGGAATCGCATCCTGAGGAAACCAGTCGCGAGCGGGTCACGTTCAGTATGGAGAAACATGAACTCGAGCAGGTAGCACTTCCTTACTAACTCTTTGATAAGTACTGGAATTCCTTAGCTCAAACATAGACTTATTTTAAGAAAACTAGCAAAAAATTTTCTATTAAATGATAGCGGTTAGGCTTTCACTCATGGATATGATATACCTACTCATGGTATTAAGTGTTTCTATTCATAGCTCTTCATCTTTTCTTTCAGCTGACACTCCACCTCGCCGAATATATCCGTTGCCAAAAACTCGTCTGGAAAGTCTCCAAGTAAAGCTTGCGGCCACTCGTCTGTGCTCCATAAGTTATTCCTTGCCTTTATTCGCTTGCCAGTTGTAATTTCAAATCTAGTGCAAATTTTTTCTTATCGATAAACAATTGATTTCTCAGAGGTTTTTGCGACTGTAGCAATTCACCTATGTGAGTGACATCAGTTCTTATTGAATTAAGACAGTCACAGAGATTAGCCTTCATACAGTTTGTCAAATAGTGATACCTCATGTTCATGAAATGGGTTTATCATGGTTCCACCATGGTTCGAACTTAAGGTGATACGTTTCTGGTCAGCGACGATCTCGCTTCTCTCGAGTCCCAAGGTAATCTAACGAAAATGGAGCACCTATAGGTCGTACCAGAAATATTCGTTCAGCATTTTGTATTAAAATGAGATTTGCCACCTTGTTGCTAAAATTTGTATGGGACCACTCGGAACTTTGACATCAGTTTATTTGCCAAAATTCTTAGTAGAAACATTGAACTCTTCAGCCTGTATGACAGTGGTTGGCCCGCCTGCTGGACATTTTTATGCGACATCTGGGAATTCATCTATCTTCCTTCCGCTGTGTGACCCGACTAGGCAAAAAATAATATGAAACGACAAGTACACTAAAATGTCAAAACCTACACTTAGAAGAACTTGCTAATATGTCAACCTTTTTATTTTCTACCTACTATATTTTTCATGGCAAGGTATGATGTGAGATACAACCAAAATGATTCTGAGATACTATCCGAGATGACTCCCACTCGTAACAGGAAGGCGAAATCGCCGAAATGTCATCCATCGGCCAGCAACACTAGCAACAACGACGACGAAAACTAATCGAAATCTCGTATCAGCTCAAAAAGATCAGCTTACAAGATTCCGAGATATTCGCAAAACTTGGACCCCAGACCAGATGGAACCACGACTATCCATTCCGGGGGCTCACCTATTGTACACTGCACCACGGAGGCCTTATTCCATTTACTAGTAATCTTAATGCGTGAAGCATAATAGACTTGAGCCATGAAAATTCCAAAGCCATGAGCTATGAGCCAAATTTCAAAATCATGAGCTCAACCGACCTCTGTTGCTTTCAGAATGACAAGTATTTCTTCGTTATGCGAACCATAATTCAAATTATCCTTACTGAAATTTCAGGCGCTACTTGGAATTTTATTTTTGTTTTTTTAGACACTATGTAACCACTTTAGGAAAACTATAAACCATATTTTGCCATTGTTTTTGTATCTTGAAACCTTTCACCATCGATCACATTTTTCTAGTGGTGACTTTTCCCGGTGTGTTTAAAAAATTTTCCGAACATTTCTTTTTGAAAAAAGCAATGGCTAGAAGAAACCGCCTTTGCACAGTCGAAAGCGCGCCAGTAGATAAAGTTTTGGATTTTTCATCGCCTGAAAATCTGTAAATACATTCTGCAACAGCAAATAGCCGCAGAGACTTTTAGTGGACACCGGTTCATCATTTTGGCATATAACACTTTTCTAATACTGGCTCCGTTCGAAATCATAAGTTCTGGCTTCCGCATAAGGCTATGCTAGGAAATTGAAATGTCGCTAAAGCGTGGATCAGAAAGTCACTTACGTACACTTAATGCTGAGACGGTTTATAAGGCTCTGTACTGGAGGTAGGAGTCTTCAGGGCAAAAGTGGTGATGCCTATCAACAGTTCACGTTGGCCACCTGAAAATGATAGTCAAACCTGATCGTCGAAAAAGCTTTTTGACGCTACGGGATTGGAACAAAAAGCAGTTAAAACCGAACAATCTTCCGCAATGGAAGGAACTGGAGAACCTCAGTAAATTGGCTCCGTGTAGACAGAACGAATGGCAGCGTCGTCGCTGTAACGAAATCAGATCCACGCTCTTTTCCACGGGAAAAGTGACCTATCTCTCGATAACTTTTGCTTTTGAAATTGGAGTCTATACGACATTAGGCATGCGTGTAGAGCAGTGTTTACCTTACAATACATACGCTATCACTGGTTCAATCTCGTGCTCTAGGTTCATCAAACCTTCCATTCCGTCGAGGTAGGAAAACTGCAACTAGACATTTCTGTGAGCATCACCTGTATCACCTGTAGTTCCGTTAACGATCCAGTGACTCGAACGAGCACCAGTAAATCTTCCATTTTTCGCTATCACGTGCAAGAATAGCCCAGTGGGTTTTGCTCGCTCTACAAATTCGTCGAGCATAGTATCTTTCTTCTAGGTTCTTCGTGAAGAACTCTGACCATCGGGTAGGTGGTCTTCCTGCAGTATGTTTGACATCCAGAAGAACCCAGTCACTAACGGTTCTTGTTCATCGGTCCCACCATGTCATTCATACTCATTATGTGTCTGGGCCACCTTATCTTTAACTGTTTGGCGTACAAAGCGGCATCTTTGTTTTTGATCCTTGGCACAGATCGGAGCTTCGGAACCTATCCCTTACTTGTGTGAAATGGGATACTCCTAGTACCGTCTTTTCGACTGTGCGTTCGATAGCGCTGAGTGGTCTTTCATCCTGCTTACGCAGCGACAAAGTTTTTGACGTATGCGTTAGGGCAAAAAGTACTGCTCAGACGAAAAGGTGGACACGGAGTCGGGAGTTTTTTGTTTCCTTCACTACGTCCTCGATGCTCTTGAAAGCTCCCCAAACCGCTCGTTTCCTTCTGCTCAGCTCTGGAGCTAAGTCGTTGATCAAATTGATTCTCCGACCTAGATAGACATAACTGGGGCATTCGGATATCGGTCCCGTTGAGCGTGAATGGGACATTCGAATCCAATTCGTTCTTCATGAACATCGTTTCTGTGAGATTTAGTCGAAGACCAATCTTACCACAGGCTTTATCAAAGTCGGCAAGCATTCGTTCCGCTTGGCTAATGCTCGATGTTATAAGAACGATGTCACTAGCAAGGCAAAAATAGTGTAATTCGCGTCCATCGATTTTCACCACCATTTTGTCCTATTCCAGTGTTCCCATGAGGTTCTCGAGGATGGCTGTAAATGGCTTTCGCGAGATGGTATCGCCCTGCATAACTCCTCTTTTGACGTTAATGTTAATATCGTTATAGAATAGTAATATCTTGGTTGTGAAATTTCTGTACAACTCACAAAGAATCTTTATGTACTGAGCAAGAACTCCTAGACTATCAAGAGCTTCCATGTCTGCTTCTATTTCAGTTGAATCGAAGGCCTTCAGTAAATCAATGAAAGTGAGACAGAGCGGTCTTTTGTACTCTCGCGACACTTCGGTGAGTCTTGTTATCGTGTGGATGTGGTTCATCGCACTAAATCCTTTTTGAAATCCAGCTTGCTCACATGCTGCCCTTTGTCCAGTGTTCTGTCAATCCTGTTTAGGTTGGCTAGAGTGAAAAGTTTGTAGACGACAGAGAGCAAGCAAATTGGGCGATAGTTGCCGATTTCGTGTAGGCCACCATTCTTGGACAATAACACGGTCCTGCTGGTCTTCCATTAAGTAGAGACCTTCCATTCAGATAGGCAACGTGTGAAGAGCTGAGCCGGTGTGTTTACAGCGACTGGCACAAAGTTCTTCAGGTGTTCTAATCTTATCCTGTCCGGACCTGGTACTGTTCGATTTTTCACCGGCGAAATGGCATGTCGGATTTCGGAAGGGAGAACCGATGGTGCAACATATCCATCCACTTTTATTTCATATGACGGAAGGTGGAAGTAGCTAGCGAAGAGATCTGAGTAGTATTCGTGAATAATTTTCTCTATTACCTTTCTGGACGCTGTTACTGTTCCGTCTGGGCGCCGTAGCGCAAACATTTTGGTCTCGAATGAGCCGATCGCATTCTTAGTTGTTGCTGTAGTTGGCGAAGCTTCGGTGGGCTTTGAGAATGCTTTTCCCAGCCTCTGCAGCTTCGGCCATTACTGCTGCTCTTTTCTTCCTAAGATCTTCTTTTATCGCCTCTCTGCATTGTTTTGCAAGTTCGGACGTTAGTTCGCGGTTGTCTGCAGCTCGTGCGATTCCACGCTGGCGTATCAGGTCGAGTGTTTCTGGAGACGGACGCCTCATGGTGACTTTCGAACTCTCAACCTTCGCAGCGCTAACGTGAATTTGTTAAATGAGCCGATCGCATTCTTAGTCGATGTTATCGACAACGGCATCTTCTCAGCAGTCAGCTAATGAATTGAGTAAGTCCCAGTTTTCAATGGTTCTGGGACTTGAGTCTCTGAATTTAGCGGGTTTTCTCCTTTCCGCAAGAAATAGAATCTTGCACGAAGAAGAAGGTGATCTGATCCCGTGTAGAATTTTGGAACAACAGCGACATCGGTTGGGCAAAACTTTCTATTTACTATGATGTGGTCTATTTCGTTATGGTACTTCTCACTGGGAGACTCCCACGTCCAGCGTGGAGGGTGTGGCTTCTGGAATTGCGAGTTACCATGGATCGTTTTGGTCGCCATGATAAACTCAAATAGCTGCTCACCCTGTTCGTTCCATTCTAAGCCGTGGGTCCCAATGTGACGTTCTTCAGACGTTCTTCTTAGTCCAACCTTGGCGTTGAAATCTCCAATGGTGACCTTAAAAATTGTATGGTCTTCTCTATAGAACTTCTCCAAGTCCATATTGAACGCGTCGACTTCTTCTTTGTTATAGTTTGATGTCGGAACGTAAACGACGAAGATTGTCAAAGCCAGTATTGACCCACATCTTTTTAATTGCAAACGTGCGATTCGGGTTATAAGCTGTTCGAATGAATCGCTTTTCATGGATAAACTCGTGTTGACGAGAGCGCCGACGCCGCCGACTCCTCTACTGTCGCATGTTCCGAGAAACAGTTCTTCTCCGGTGTCCTAGACTGCGTTGAATGGGTGACGTCGTCTCGTCTTTGCCAGGCCGATGACGTCGTACCTTATCCTCCTTGCTTGCATAAGCAAGCCTTCTATCGAGCACTAGGATGCAAGTGTACGTGCATTGTAGGTAGGGATCGTTACCTCAGTTCTTCGTGATCTAGACAGCTTCCATTGGCCCTCTGACAT